GTTGGGTTTTTTTTGTTTGTTTTTTGTTTTTTGGTACTGGGGATTGAACTTGGGTCCTTACACTTGCAAGGCCGGCGGCAGATCCATAGAGCTAAATCCCCAGCCCCGGGACTGGGTTTTAAAGTCACTTGAACTTTCTCTCTGCATGTATATGCTATCAAACAGATGTATAGTTATGAACATTTAATTCATTTTGGTTTTAAAATACTTTTTTTTTATAATTGTGCAAAACATTTGCAGAATTGCAGCCAAATCTACAAACAAAATATTTTAGGAAAAACAAGCTTTATCCCTGTCCTCTCCATCTTCCTGTTGTATAAATAAAGTTTTTAAAAATTAATTTTTAAAGTAAAAAACTATATTTTCTTATTAAACCTATCCCTTCCCCACACACATCTAAAGCATGCTGTACATCTTAATGCTTTTGCTTTTTTAACTTGATGGTATGTCCTGGAGAGTATCCCATAATAGTAGAGATCTTTTACATATTTTCTTTTTATATATATATTATTTTCCATAGATTATATCTTGCTTTTTGCTATTAAAATAATACCATAAATAGCCTATATATATGTTGAGGGATATAAAATACAAAACATTGAGAAAACACATTAATACAAGAATATTTTTCTTGAATTTTTAGAAATTGAGATAAAACTGAAGAACTTGTTTTAATATTGGGCTTTAACTCATTTTTTCGAGTAATATCGAGAACCTTATCAAACTGCCTTCATCTTATTTCAGATCCAGAGTCCTCATAACCTCCCTTTTTAAAATGGTAGATAATAAAGACCATGTAACATAAAAGTTAACACCTTAACTCTTCTTAAATGTCCAGTTCAGAAGAGTTGAATATGTTTCCATTGTTATGAAACATCTCCAGAGCTTTTTATCCTGCAAAACTAAAACTCTGCACTCATTAAACAACTCCCCCATAAACTCTCCCCCAAACCCCTGACAGCTATTATTCTACTTTCTGGTTCTATGAATTTGACTGGTTACCACACATAAATAGAAAAATGTAATATTCTGCCCTTTTGTGGCTGATTTATTTCACTTTGCATAATGTTCTTAAGGTTCATTCATGTTGTAGCATGTGACAAGATTTATTTCCTTTTTTAACACCAGCTAATAACCCACTGTATGCCACATATTCTTGATCCATTCATCCAGCCATGAATAGGGTTCCTTTTTTGGACAGTTGTGAGTAGTGTACTGTTTTGAACATAGATGTGCAAATAACTTTTTGAAGCCCTACTTAATATTCTTTGGATATATTCCAAATTGAGGGATTGCGAGGTTATATGATAATTTTATTTTTCATTTTGTGAGGACATTTTATGTTTTCTAGAACAGTCACTGTTTTACATTCCTACCAATAATTTATAAGGGCTCCAGTTTCTTATTGTTCTTGCCTGTACTTGTTATTTTTGGGTTTGCTTATTCCAACTCTCCCCACCTCCTTTCTTGATGAATGTGAGATAATGTCTTGTGGTTTTCATTTGCGTTTTTCTGATGATCAGTGATGTTAACTATCTTTTATATACTATTAGCTATTTGCGTGCATCTTTTTTTTTTTTTTTGGTACTGGGGATCGAACTTGGATCCTTGTGCTTGCAAGGCAGGCAGTGGGACCACTGATCTAAATCCCTGGCCCATTTTGCATACATCTTTGAAGAAATATCTACTGACATCTTTTACCCAATTTTTAATCAGGTTGTAAATCTTAGTTTCTTATAACTTGATATTTTTGCTAGTAGCTGGTAGAGTATATTTTACACAAAGAGAGTAGTTGTGTTAATCTAAACTGACTGAAGAATATGTTGACTTAAATTTATTTAATTTCTAATTCTTATAGGGCTGTTTAGAAACCAAAAAATATTGAGAGAATACAGAGATTTCTTGGGAAACACCAAGGTAAGGCTATCTTTCTAATAGTGTTTGTGTTGCACAGCAAAATTCTGATACCAATCCATAACATAATTCTAACACGTTTGTGATAATAATGCAAGATTTTACTGAATACATTGTAATATACTGATTTACCTTTAGTTTTTCTTCTGAAAATTTATCATTTTTAAGCATGAATACACACACACACACACACACACGCGCGCACAAAATAGACTTTATTTTCTTGGGTTTTAACAAGATTTCTTTTATATACACTCTTAATTTCTTTTGTCCTCTATCTTACTCCTAATCTTGGTTAAATATTCATACGGTCAGCTCTCTGCTTTTGCTCCAGAGATCAGCCTTTGGAGGAGAAAATTACACAGTCAGTTTGATTGTTCTTCCTTTATTCTTTGACTGCAAACTCAGTGGACACTCATTATTGTAAGACAATGTTACCTTCCCTCTGTGTGGAATAACTATTATATTTCCTTCTGTTTTCAAACTTCATACTCACCCCCTTACTCCTTAGTTGTTGGCCTTGTTTCCTCGTCCATTGAAAAAAATAAATGTATAGATGATCTCTGGCTTAAAATGATTTGATTTATAGTTTATTGACTTTATTTTATTTTGTTTTATTTTTTGGTACCTGGGATCAAACTCGGGTCCTTATGCTTGCAAGGCAGGCGGCAGAACCACTGAGCTAAATCCCTGGCTCCTACAGTTTATTGACTTTATGATGGTGCAGTGACCATTGCATTTGCAGTGTAGTATCCAATTAAATGAGATATTGAACACTTCATTATAAATTAGGCTTAGATAATTTTGTCCAACTGATAATAAGTATTCTGAATGCAATTAAGCTAGGGTAGGCCTAGCTGTGGTTTTTCAGTAGGTTGGGTATACTAAGCATATTTTTTACTTAATGATATTTTAAACTTTTGGTGGGTTTATCAGGCCCTAGACCCATGATAAATCAAAGAACATCCTGTAATTTGATGAAAAATACCTTTTTTTCTCATCACTAAATTCACTGGTGTATCTACACATGTGCCAAAATACTATACTGTCTATCCCAAGAGAAAGAATTAATATGCCAGGACAAATAGAAAAAGGTTGCCCTTATAATCCTGTATCCTCTTCTCTCCTGAACCTAATCCATTTGGACTTTAATCCCACATCACTAAAATGGCTGGATCAAGTGACCAGCATCTCCAAGATTTTAAACAGTCTATGTCTAGAATTGATCTTTTAAACTTAGCCAGGAAAGATCTCACACCAGGAAGTTAATGCCAAATCTGAGGAAAAGGCTACCTATGTACCTAATTGACCTCTCTCTGGGTATCATTTGAGACATTGCTTTCTTTTTGCAAAATTTAGAATTTTGCAACCAGGATGATTCTATTAAATCTTATTTGATATGTTTTGCTTTCCTATTCTCATAATTCAAAGCCCGTCATTTCTGTTTTTCCTTTGAGCCCTGTCTTTTTGGCACTCCAGTGCTGCACTGAAAGTATGAACAGTAGAGCCTTCCTATTTCTGTGAGCCTACATTGCCACTCTTGTGCGGTAAAGGCTGCTGCCACTGCCTCACTTGTGTGGAGTAAGTTAGGCCAGTGACACCTCACGAAGTGACTCCTAGTCCTTACATCTGTTTCACATGGACAGTCATCCTCAGATTTTTTAGAAGTGGCTGTTGATGTCTGAAGTCTGTGTTGCTAGAGGCCTTTTGAAGACTTAGTACTCCTCAGCTTTTGAATATTCCAGGATTTTAATAGAATTTCTCTCTGTTGTCCCCCCCTTCTCTGTAATAATTGGGTAAAATTAGTATTTCATTTCCTTCTGTTGTTCCCCTATTTCCTTTAGGAATTCTTTTACACTGAAGGCGGTTGGTTGCTTTCCTTCTCTAATACATACAAGGGCTAGTGCCTTTTGATGGAATTAAATGCATCCTTTACTTTTTCTTATTTCTGAACCAGACATTTTTTCCATTGTATTATTCTGTGTCATAAGCGCTTCACTTGTGAGATGTATGAAGTCACAATGTTCTGGCTCTGCCAGAAGTATTCTGTCGTCAGAGGAATGACTAGCCTTCAATAATCTTTTAATAAATTTCCCTTCAATATATTCTGGTTTCTTGTGCCTCTTAGGAACTGTTCTCAGAATTATTATTATGATGATGATTTTTTTTTTTTTTTTGTGGTACTGGGGGTTGAACTCAGGTCCTTGAGCTTGTGAGGCAGGTGGCAGAACCACTGAACTAAATCCCCAGCCCTCAGAATTTCTTAGGATAGTTCCTCAGAACACTGAAGGATCTTTGTCTATGCTTATGCTAATAGTATCTCCTTTAAATGAACCATCAGTGCTGTGTGTAATTGATGCTGCTTTTCCTGGTGGTCCTCCCTAAAATCTTCCCTAGTTTTCTTTTGTGTTCCAATATGAAACAAACTTGTGAAAATTTCAAATGTATACAGAAATATAAAGCATACAGGAATATCCAGTTTTAATAATCACAGGCATTTTTGTCTTCAAGAATTCTACCCATTCTGTCATCCAGCAGACTTAGTATTTCTGTTTTAATATTTAGATCTTTGATTCATTTCTATTTTAGCTTAGTATGTGGTGAGAGATACAAGTCTAGTTTTAATCTATAGTATGTGCAAAGCCATTTTTTCCTGCACCATTTATTAAAGAGGATAGCTTTCTTCCAGTGACTGTTTGGCCCCTATGTCAAAAATAAGGGGACTAAGTGTGTTTAGAGTTGTTTCTGTATCTTCTAATGTGTTCCATTAATCCTTGGGTCTGTTTTGTTGATGTTGTTGTTGTTGTTTTGCCAGTACCTTGCTGTAGCTTTGTAGTATAATTTCAAGTCAGGGATTGTGATGCCTCCTGCCTTGCCGTTGTTGCCCAGAATTGCTTTCTTATTCTAAGTCTCTTCTGGTTCCAAATGAATTTTAGAATTGCTTTATCTAATTCTGTGAGGTATACTATTGGTATTTTGATCAGGATTGCATTAAAACTGTATAACAATTTTGGAAATATCGCCATTTTTACTGTATTGGTTCTTCCTATCCAAGAAACAAGGGATAGCTTTTCATTTTCTGACATTCTTGTCTATCTCCTTTTTCAGAGTACTGTAGTTTTCATTGTAGAGGTCTTTTACTTCCTTCATTAGATTGACTTCCTAGGTATTTCATTTTTTGGGGTGCTGTTGTGGTAGATATGATTTTCCTAATTTCTCTCTCTCTGAGTTTGTTATTTGTGTACAGACTTCATTTTTTGAGACAGGATCTTGCTAAATTGCCCATGTTAATCTCAAATTCATGATTCTCTCGCCTCAGCCTCCTTAGTTGGCTGGGGTTACACATGTGTGAACCCACTCTGGTTTTTATTCATTTTTTTACAGTTTCCTTCACTTTTTAACTGAAAGATACAGTGTATTTTCATCAAAATAAAACATACTTGCTCTGTATTTGTTAATGGATAGTAAGAGTTGGAAATCTAGACCTTGCTCATTTTGTGGCTTAAATCTAGCTACAAGTTGAAATCATATGGACAAGGTTTGTTCTTTTATAATTTGTTCTCTTAATACTAAAGGAACTTAACTAGAGAACTGGTGGCACCTAATTTCACAGTACTTTTCAAAACATGGCCTTTAAAACTAGAAATTCACTTTTTGCTTTGTTGTCTGTAGGGGACTGATGAAATATTCTTTAAAACCCTGATTTGCAGAGCTGACTGAAAATCACTGTTGAAGTACCCTCTACCCCAAAAAAATTAAAAACAAAAGGCAAAAAGAATCTATTTTGCTTTCCTAATGTGTGAAATGGAATCTCACCTGAGCTTTCTTTGCAGTGTAGGCTAAGTTAGATCTATAGAATTGAAGTTTAAGTTTGTATAAAGGGATCCTACTTTCATTGAGGTCCATTCCTGCTATTCAAAACTTATCATGGCCTGCCTATGGGAACAAAGTTGACACAAGCTGTGTTAACTTAGCAGTAACTAGGTCTTTATCATCTCTGGGTTGAATATCCTACTTTTTTTTTTTTTTTTTTTT